TTGCTCTCTCCTCCAGGCCAGTTATAAAAATGCACAGCCCCTGGCTTCATTTTGTGAATGGCCTGGAGGAGAGGGAGGCAAAGACTAGACCATAGCCCTGGAGTCTATGAGACCTCCGATGCATACATCCCAGAAACACAACTTTGGCTCTACTAATCCCGGCAGGTAAACGAGCAGATTTGCGTAACGTCGAAGATGGAATGTATAACCCCTTGAAGCCTGGTAACTTCAATTTTCCCGCGTCCAGCGCTATTTCTCCACTCTTAGAAGTTTTTTTTAGACCTTCTTTTTGGCCCTCCTTCTATTTATTCTTTAGGGATGTGGTGTCCTGACATTGATGAGGGATAGGTGCCGTATTATCAAAATTGGACAGGTCCACCAGCGGACCTTGGGGGTCCCCCATTATTTTTCCACCGTTTTTAGAACTTTTTTTGGACCTTCTTTTCACTAGTCTTTCTATATATTCTCAGAGATGTGGTGTCCTGACTTTGATAGGGGGTAGGTGGCCTATTGGATAGCTCCACCAATGGACCTTGAGGGTCCAGCGCTATTTCTCCACTCTTTTTAGAACCTTTTTTTAGACCTTCTTTTCACTCCTCTTTCTATATATTCTCAGAGATGTTGTGTCCTGACTTTGATAGGGGGGTAGGCGTCCAATTATCTGTTGGATAGCTCCACCAATGGACATTGAGGGTCCAGCGCTATTTCTCCACCCTTAGAAGTTTTTTTTAGAACTCCTTTTTGGTCCTCTTTCTACTTATTCTTTGGGGATGTGACTTTTATGAGGGATAGGTGGCCTATTATCAAAATTGGATAGCTCCACCAATGGACCTTGAGGCTCCAACGCTATTTCTCCACTCTTTTTAGAACTTTTTGAGTTCTTCTTTTGACATCGGTGAAATTTCCTTTCAATTACGGGGCCCGCCTTAGCAAATTATATCCAAGATGACTATCAGCAGAAGCATACCGGCTTAATTTGAAGTGTATGTTAATAAAAAATATCATATGGATGTCCTACTAATGACTTCCATACAGACCACTGGTAGCTTCTCTAAACATTGGCAGCAGACATTAGCGGTAGTAGGAGGCCTGTTATTTTACCTTACGTCCCATTAATGTAACATGTCATATGGTAAACATATGGAACAATTAGAACAGCGAGCCCGGCCGTGTGGGTTTAATAGTTTTTTTTTTTGGGAAGGTTCTTGACACGACGCCAAGGAACATATTTTCAGAGCCTCCCTAGAAAGAGAAGGACTCCGCAAAGCTTTTGATTGGCTGTCATTTGCTGCCGCGGGGGAATGTTTGGAAATGGTTTGAAAAATTAACAACTTGCCATCTTTCAGCTTCGAATTCTTTTTGAAGCTTTTATGGGGATTTTATTTTTCTTTAACATTTTTATAAGTTCCCTCGGCTTCATAATTTTAAAAAAATAAATAAAATGTTTAAACAATTCTGATTTTTGAATTTGACTAATGTTTGCGCATTTATTGAAAGCTTACATTGTGTCATGTGGAATCATTCAACATCTGGATCTTTATTTACAAAAGCAAAGAGCGATGGGGAAAGTGCGGTAACCCATGGTAACCCGAAGCGGATTTCCGCCGAGCGCAAAGCCGATAGCTCGATGAACTTGTTGCGCAATTTTGCATTCTAGGAAATGGAACGTGACAGATGGTTCCCATGGGTGCTCCGTGATCTTTAAAGTCATAACCCCCAATCACATCGTAGAAGCTTTAACATGTCATTATTCAAAATTACTCATGTATACGTAAACCCCAAATCTATGTTTCGGTATGTTTGGCATGCTGCTCCACTTAGAGCTGAACTCCAGGCAAAGAAAAATGTAATCCGAATATATTCTTCAATAGACACTAAAGGATATAAATGAATTATTTGTGCCAGAAATGCATTTACCAAGCCAGTTAATGCCTAGAAAATAAAGTAATAAAGACCGCTCACGGCTGCTCTCTCTCCTTGTGCAGGGTGACTGGTCTTGTCTCCGCCCCCTCCTATAATAAAGCCCGGTCACTGCTGCTCTCTCTCCTCGTGCAGTCTAAATCATGCTCTGGAACCCCCTACCCCAATCTGTCCATCTACACTATATTGCCAAAAGTGTTGGGACGCCTTTACACGCACATGAACTTTAATGGCATCCCAGTCTTAGTCTGTAGGGTTCAGTATTAGGTTGGCTCCGCCCTTTGCCGCTATAACAGGTTCAACTCTTCTGGGAAGGCGTCCACAAGGTTTAGGAGTGTGTCTATGGGAATGTTGGACCATTTGTGAGGTCAGGTACTGATGTTGGAGGAGAAGGCCGGGCTCGCAGTCTCCGCTCTAATTCATCCCAAAGGTGTTCTATGGGGTTGAGGTCAGGACTCTGTGCGGCCAGTCACGTTCCTCCCCCCCAAACTCCCCCATCCATGTCTTTATGGACCTTGCTTTGTGCACTGGTGTGCAGTCATGTTGGAACAGGAAGGGGCCATCCCCAAACTCCTCCCACAAAGTTGGGAGCATGAAATTGACCAAAATGTCTTGGTGTGCTGATGCCTTAAGAGTTCCCTTCACTGGATCTAAGGGGCCAAGCCTAACCCCTGAAAAACAACCCCACACCATAATCCCCCCTCCACCAAACTTTACACTTGGCACAATGCAGTCAGGCAAGTACCGTTCTCCTGGCAACCGCCAAACCCAGACACGTCCATCGGATTGCCAGACAGAGAAGCGTGATTGGTCACTCCAGAGAACACGTCTCCACTTCTCTAGAGTCCAGTGGCGGCGTGCTTTACACCACGGCATCCCACGCTTTGCATTGCACTTGGTGATGTGCGGCTTGGATGCAGCTGCTCGGCCATGGAAACCCATTCCATGAAGCTCTCTACGCACTGTTGTTGTGCCAATCTGAAGGCCACACGAAGTTTGGAGGTCTGTAGCTATTGACTCTGCAGACAGTTGGCGACTTCTGCGCACTGTGCGCTTCAGCATGCGCTGACCTCGCCCTGTCATGTGACGCGGCCTACCACTTCCTGGCCGAGTTGCTGTTGTTCCCAGTTGCTTCCACTTTGTTATAATCCCAGTAACAGGCGACCGCGGAATATTTAGTAGCCAGGAAATGTCACGGATGGACTTATTGCACAGGTGACAACCTATCACGGCACCACGCTTGTAGTCACTGAGCTCCTGAGAGCGACCCGTTCTTTCCCAAATGTTTGTAGAAGCGTCTTACTGCCGAGGTGCCTCATCCTATACACCTGTGGCCATGGAGGGGATTGGAACACCTGAAGCCAATGATTTGAAGGGGTGTCCCAATAGTTTTGGCAATATAGCGTATCTTCTACTCTGTCCGCATGAAATCTCATCCCTTCGTGGAAGCCTATCGCACCTCTACCCAACAACTGAACTATTACTTTCTCCATCATCTCATCCCTCACAGTTATTACCTTTGGTATGACTTGCCCTTCCCTTTTATAATGCAAGCTTTCATAAGCAGGGCAATCCTAACCCTCTTGTCTTGCTTCATATTGTATATAGCGTGCTGTGCAAGCTGCCGGTGCCATATAAATCCTGAATAATAATAATAATAATAATGATAATATACTGTATCACACAGGTTTGGTCCACTCTGACCACCACGAGGAAGCCCACCTTGGGTATAGGGTGAACTTTTAAAGAAAATCTACCTCCTTTGACTTGCTTTGGCTTGCTTTTCTCTTTCTTCCAGCTAATGCTAAAAAGCAAATGAGCAATGTATTCATATTTCTTCTCCTAACTTTTTGTTTCTCCCTTTGCAGGAGGTTGCTCTGGGGCCCGATGCCACCTCATACCGGCTGCTGGATCTCAGCCCGTCTGCGCAATACACCGTAAGACTGCAGGCTATAAACGATAACGTCAAGAGCAAATTCATCCAAACCGTCTTCACAACAAGTAAGGGCAACGCTGCTTCTGTTTTATGATCCCCTGCTAAGACCTGCGTTCTCATGCACGCACACACCCCACGTAGGGAGATCCACGCCGCCGCTTAATAGTCAAAGAACTCAGATGAGGTAGGACGCGTTTTATAGTACCGACATGACCGTGCATTGAACGGGCCGTGAACTAGATATTACGCTTCATTAAAAACTGCGACTTATATTCTTAACTTAAAGGAGAACTATGGGGTCAGGGCTTTTCCCCATAGTTCTCCTTAGGGTAACGGGAGGACACAAACTAGCATCCTCCCGTCACCCTAAGCTCAGTATATAGGGAGCTACAGCTCGCGGTATAATGAGACGCCGCAGCTGGAGCGGATCCCGACGTAGATGATGGGATCCGCCCAGCTGCGTGATTGACAGCTGGCTCTTATATGTATGCATGTGAGATAGGGACCCTAGAGTGTAAGCTGCGGGGACTGAGGTGAATGTGCAACTATGTGAAACAAATAATAATAATCAAGTATTATTGATTACATGGAGCCTGCGCTGATCAATGTCCTTGCACTGCTCCTGTGTTGATCAATGTCCTTGCATGGAGCCTGCGTTGATCAATGTCCTTGCATGGAACCTGTGTTGATCAATGTCCTTGCATGGAACCTGCATTGATCCATGTCCTTGCATGAAGCCTGCGTTGATCAATGTCCTTGCATGGAGCCTGCGTTGATCAATGTCCTTGCATGGAGCCTGCGTTGATCAATGTCCTTGCATGGAACCTGTGTTGATCAATGTCCTTGCATGAAGCCTGCGTTGATCAATGTCCTTGCATGGAACCTGTGTTGATCCATGTCCTTGCATGAAGCCTGCGTTGATCAATGTCCTTGCATGGAGCCTGCGTTGATCAATGTCCTTGCATGGAGCCTGCGTTGATCAATGTCCTTGCATGGAGCCTGCGTTGATCAATGTCCTTGCATGGAACCTGTGTTGATCAATGTCCTTGCATGAAGCCTGCGTTGATCAATGTCCTTGCATGGAGCCTGCGTTGCCGGCCAATGGTGTGAATGAGCCCTTATCCAGGAAGTTATTTAAACCACCCCTAGATGGTGCCAATGAGTGTAGGCATTTCCTATAAACGTCAGCGCCACCCAGAGGCGCCGACATTCCTCTCCCCCCCCGACATTTATAAATGAGCCCCAAAGACTTTCCTCTGCTCTTTCCACAACAGAAAATAAATTATCCGCAGAAAGACATTTTTATATTTCTCTGGTGACCAAATTATCATAATCCAAAAATCTCATTAATCGTCGGCGCTCCATTCCATGCGTATAAAAGATAATTGAACACAGGAAGAGCGCCTGCAGGAGGAGGAGAGGTGTCTGTTCACAAAGCGAGCTTTGCACAATCCCGTCCCCGAGCCGGGCTCAGCGGCGTCATAACAGATTTATGAAACATTGTGACGGCTCCGGAATATCGTCTCACGTATGCAGGATAGAAAACATCTGCGCCAAACCCGCATCAGAACATTCCCCCGCCCCTCTATTGTTCCCACCATACGGGTATTGTTTCCTTTATCCCTCCAACATCGACACAACACTAAGGAATGCAAACCCGAACTGCAGGGGAAAAAAAGCTCAATACAGGTATTCCTCACTTAACGACCGAGTTCCGTTCCTACGACCAGGTCGTTAAACGGATTGGTCGTTAAGTGAGGAACTCTATACAGTACTATACTGCATTAGGACAGTACTGTATAGCGTTGCCGATGTACAGTACCGAACAGTGTACTGTACATCCGGCAATGGAAATACTTACCGAGACCTGCAGTGAAGATCGGGGGATGTCACTTCCGCCGGCGACCCGTCGCACTGACGCTGACGTGGAAGGTCGGAGGTCCATCGCCGGTCCGTCGTAAGTGCGAGTGGTCGCAAAACAGGTAAGTCGGTAAGTGAGGAACATCTGTACACAGAAAATACATAAATAAAAAATAAATATTAAAATGAAATATATCCAGCTAAAGCTAAATACACAGAAAAATGCATTAATTCATTAAATACAATAAAGTTTACACACACACATATATATATGTATATAGTGCAATATAAATGGGTGCGCGCTTCTATAGCATTTGCGAATTATCAATCATTTTTCAGCCGGGCTGTTTCATGCAGCACTTTACAGAATGCGTCTCTCATACGTCATGCTGCTACGGGGTCCTTCTGGCGCAACTAACTAAGCTTTGTGCGCCAAATCCTAAAGATTTGCACATTCTGACCCAAACATGACCTGGAGGTCCCTAATTTCCCAACACATTCATTGGAAAGTATTTATTTTTGAAAAGAAACGTCTGCATGGAAAAAAAGAAAAAATGAACGTGGACAGTGAGAGACGCCAGAGTGCTGAGTGCTTCCCGGCTGAAGGAGCGATATTAGAGGCGCAAGGAAACAATTTGTTCTGAGAGACTTACCTTGCCATGGCGCTCTCTCAGATGCACGGGATGAGCGCCAAAGCGCCGGTGGCTTCACTGCCCTGAAATGTAAGCAGACACGTTTCTCAGCTAATCCCCCCAAAGGGAACAAGTTAGGTTTTTGAGCCATTTAAACTGAAAAAAAGACGCCGGCGCATTGTGTTTGAGATGCGAAATTTGGAAATAACAAAAATGTTCTCCCATTGGTATGCACTGGAACAGTGAGGGATCATTTTCTTCCTCGCAGTAAATCATTATTGGCTTTCAAATATGTGTGGTAGCTATCAGAGGCTTAAGTCATTATAAGCCTTTATTATATAAAAGCCTTTATTATATAAAAATCATGAGAAATCATAAAAATAATAATCATTATTTTTTATACATTATAAATAATATTCAAATGAAATATAATCATAGTGAATAGAGTGGAGATAGGTTAAATCACATATTTTATACAGTTTGCTTCAAAACTATTTTAAGTCTTCATTTTTTTTTGAGACTGTAGAAAATGATAATAATAAAAAAGAAAAGAAATGTGTGTCATAACATGCTGATATGTCAGAAGAGGGCGCTGTCATAACGCCTCCCGATGTCAGAACCTGCGCTCTTAGTACATATCATGATGTCAGAACATAGACGGGGTCACCTGTGCTAATGAGCAACACATTACAGAATGTAAGTCCCCCCTCCGAAGGCTCCTTGGATGTCCTCGAGTACCCCCTGAGCATCCAAATAAGACCGTCACTGAGTGCCAGTGTGTCAGGTGTAGAAGAGTAAGCCCAGCACTGCACACACACTCCTCTGTATTATAGACTAAGGGAGTCGGAAGAGAACCTGAGGCACTGAGGGCGTGAGATAAGAGTTGTCAGAGATCTGAGGATGCTAACCATGGAGGTACGTCCACCGTCCAATTTCCCCTCAGGCATTGACACTCACCGACTGATCCCTAAACGTGGACAGTTGGAATGTGTCTTTGAAATCTACACGTGGCTCTAGCCGTCAGAGGTTGGAGGTATCTACAGAGACATTGGGCGGATTGGGCAGTGTAGTAGGACGGAATGAGCGACCAAAAATAAGAGTTCTTCATATATATATATATTTTTTTTTTTTTTCCAGTTTGAATCCATTGTGAATGTATTGTGATGTCATACTACACCGTGGCCACTAGATGGAGCAGGAGAGCATAGGAAATAATACTCAGCTCCATCTAGTGGCCAAAATGTAGTATGACATCACAATTGGGCAGTGTAGGAGGGCGGAATGAGCGACCGTGCCCTCTGACACACTCGCTGCAGACGTTGGGTCTATTTATAAACAGGGCCCTTCGCCCTGAGGATATGTGTGAGCGTTCATTTTGGGTGAATGATGCCAAAAATAAGAGTTCTTCATATATTTTTTTTCCCCCAGTTTGAATCCATTTGTGAATGTATTGTGATGTCATACTACATAGTGGCCACTAGATGGAGCTGGAGAGCATAGGAAATAATACTCAGCTCCATCTAGTGGCCAAAGTGTTGTATGACAGCACAATACATTCACAATACAGTCGAACGTGCAGCAAAGGCAGGGTTGTCAGCTCATATAGGAAGATGGGAGTCCATTGGATTTCTGGCACATGTGGTGATGCATCTGGTAATTTTTTGATACTTTATGGCTGCCACCATTCCTTTCTCACTGCAGGATTCCTATAAGATTGTAATGGGTTTAGGTATACAATGTGATTCCTGTTATACTCATTCTATCTTATCCGTCATTTTACAGCCGGGCGTCTCTACCCACTGCCTAAAGATTGCTCACAAGCCCTTCTGAACGGAGAAACCGAGTCAGGAATGTACACCATATATGCCGATGGGGATCAGTCCCAACCCATGGAAGTGTACTGCGACATGAACGTTGATGGCGGAGGATGGATTGTAAGTACACTATGCAATGCCAAGTCTGATATGTAGGTATATGCTTGTTGTAACTGAGCACAGGAAACATAAAGCTGGGCTCTGGGCTGTAATGCTTGCCCCTTTTCCGGCATTGTCATCTGCAGTAACTCCTTTCGGACACTAGATGTCCTCAGTCTTTGAAGTCGGAGGACTGAGCACAACCTGTAAGTGCAGGGCGCCATGGGCCCACCCCCTGAGGAAGCGTCATCATTGCAACCTGTCCTCATAGTCTAATGATGCACTGATGTCCTCATGCTCTCTACATCATTGAGGACTCCATCCACAGTCACTTCAGCAACCACCTTCAAGGGGCATACTGGTAAAGTGGATGGCACCACTAAGTCCAAGCAGATACAGTATGTCACCAGCCATACAGTATGTGTCACAGCACTGTGTCTGATGAAGGTACCCTAAGTCAGTGGTTCTCAACCAGTGGGTCACGACCCACTGTTGAGGGGGTCACCACATGCTTTGTGCTGTGCTAGGTAAGAGGCTTCTCAGCCACCTCCTAGAACAGCAGTGTCAGTTCTCCAGTCAGGCCGCTAGATGGCGCTGCAGCCGAGGAGGATCAAAGAGAGGGGAGCGGGCGGGAGTGAGGGGAGTTGAATACCGGCTTGACCACCAAAGAGCCCACACTGGCCGTGAGAGAGCCCCATTGAGCTCAGATGAGCCCACACTGGCCACCTGAGAGCCCACACAGATACTAGTATTGGTGCATTCCTAAATTTTACCATTGGGGGGATCACCACTACCTGGCAAATGTTACCAAGGGGTCCCAGCCCTAGAAAGGTTGAGAGCCACTGTCCTAAGTGGTCCGAGAGGTTGCCTTTCTGTGACGAGATGTATGCAACGGAACAAAGACGAGTTGGGACACAAGTTGGTGTGCTGGTGACTTACTGTATCTACCTATAGGAGAAGAAGGTACAAAAGCATATATGTGCCTGCTCATACCAGCATACCATAGCAATGTATCCCTACCCTTCTTCATTTCCCTTAGCACTTCAGGCCCGATGAATCGGAAATCGATCAGGTGCGCCCTCAATGCA